CGGTTTGGTCTTTGATAATTTCTAAGATTTCGGCCGGCAGGTGATCCAAAACAGTCGCATCGCTTAGGAGCGACCTCCTCTGCCTCGAGACGTCAATGACCGCCATCCTGACGCTCGTAAGGCCGTTAATTGGTGCGTTCGTTGGGAAAAGTGTAGTTTTTTCCTCCAGTTTGCTCCCATGCTCCATCGCAATGGGCAACTTTTTTTCTGGGGCCGTCGCCGATAAGATAACGAGTTGTAAGTCGGTGTCGGCGCCACATTTCACCGACCCAATCACAGCGCAGCGAAGAACTAGTTTCGAAGACAGCTCGAAAAACCTGGGACATCATCTCCTTGGACCACGACGCACGCGATATCAAGGCGAGCCACCACGACAATTCCTCCGTTGCCAGCCTCTCAACCCAGTCCCAACCATGGCCATGTCGTGTCGGTACGCAGCTCAGAGCTGCGCTCGTCAGCTTCGATCCGCCCCTACTGCCAGAGCCTCCGCACAATTCCTCCGGGTATCTGCAACGACGAGACGATTTAACTCGACCGAAGCCGCCGCCACCAACCCCAAGATTCAGACCATTGTCGACCAGATCAGCCAATTGACTCTGTTGGAGACTGCCGACCTTGTTTCTAGCCTCAAGGTACGTTTTTGCGCAACATAGCAGGCCTGGTCTTGGACTTTTTTGCTGATCCGGGTTCTGGTCCCACTTTCACAGACCAAGCTCAACATCCCCGATCTGCCGGTTGGTGGTTTCGCTGCCGCTCCTGCTGCCCCAGCCGCCGCCGAGGAGCCTGAGGAGGCCGCACCCGCTGCTGCCGAGAAGCACCTGTTCACACTCAAGCTGCAAGCGTTCGACGCCGCCTCCAAGGCCAAGGTCATCAAGGAAATCAAGGCCATGCTCGGACTGAGCTTGGTTGACTCCAAGAAATTCGTCGAGAGTGCGCCTAAGATGATGAAGGAGAACGTGCCCAAGGAGGATGCCGAGAAGATCATTGCAACTCTGAAGGAGATTGGCGCTACTGTCGTCATGGAGTAGAAGAGAAACGAACATAACCACGATCTGTCTCCCTGCTGGAATCCGCCAAAGGTGGACATGTGTAATAGATAGAGGGGTATATTCCATGTACAAAATATTTACACTGTACGAGTACTGAAAGAGAAAATTCCTCTTGTCTTACTTATTGAAATGTCCTTTTTTTTTCTGTCCTGGCTCTCATAGACCGTTCACCTACTCCAATTCCCCAACATCCCAAACATCTTGAATACCAGCAGATTCCGCCTGCAAACCGCCTCAAATGGGTATAGATGGAGGTACATTCCAAACTCAACCACCTTAAATGTCCAAACGCCTCCCCAATGCGACTGTTGTGAATAATAAAAATGTCAAAACGCCCACAAACACTTGTTTGTCTTGCTTTCCATAGAGAATTTTACCCCCGATGGTCATTTTGGCCTTCGCGGTGACCACAGTTAAACACTTCCATCTCTTTCCCAAAATCATCAGCCTCTTCGGCCAATATCCTGTCATCGTCCTCTCCATACTCGCTGGTCTCGTCCCACAGCTTATTCATTTCAGCGTCTCCAGACGCCGGGACAGCCCAGATGTGCTCCCGCTCTCTCTTGTGGCGCTCACGATCCTCTTCAATGCGCTGCTCAACCTGCCGTTTGTCCAGACGGTGGTGAGCCGGACCGCGGCGGTTCTGCTTGGCAGAGGTGTCTAACTGGTTGGCGTCCGGCATCTCGACGTCCCCATTTGGCGAGGTCATGTCAAGGTCGTCAGCCGTCGTCTCACGTTCCTTGATGACCTCCTCAATCTGCGTAACGGCCTGGACTTCCAAATGCCCCTTCCCAAGCAACGCTTGTAATACCTATAAGTGATGATGTAAGATGTCTAGTTCAAAAACCAGAGGACGGGGCCATGATGTACCTTGCGTACTACCTTGACATTGGCGGCACCAGAGCCGTCATCCGGGGCGACTGCATCAACCACACGGATGATGTCCCTCTGCATCATGCGGATATAGTCAGAATGGCCATCCTTGTGGGCGGCATCCAGGAAGTGCTCAATAAAATACATTATATTTGCACGAGTGTTCATGTTATTCTATCCACGGGCCATCATCATCAGCAAGGGTGCGAGCAGAATTTGCGACACACAGAAAAACTCACCCGCTCAACCTGCTCCAGGATACATGAGTGCAGGTCCTCATCCATGTCTTTGTATTTGAGCGCATATTGGGCAGCCTTCTGCGCCGATGCTATGGATGCATTGAGATGCTGGAGCTGGGAGGTGAACCTCATGCGAACCTCAAAGGGGTCGGCCATGGCGAGAGCGACAGCAGCACCGAAGCCAGCGAAAGGGCCGTTTAGCAGCTGCTGCCAGGGGCAGGGCGAGAGGTCGACGGCGCACGCAGGTCTCGCATGTACGTCTTGACAAGTTGCTGTAAAAGGGCAAGGGGTGCAGGGCCTCGGATAACTTCCGTGAGGGTGTCAGCCTGAAGGCTTTGTTGATGTTGACGGCGTCCCTGTCTAGTGGGAATGGATCTGAAATCGGCGACGCCGTTGATCGCTCGCGTTGCGCTGAGAAGATGATGCCAGTCCACCCTCCCGCAGTGCCGCCGTGCCGGGGGAGCAATGTGATAGGCGCCCTGTGTTTTACTTATTTCGCATTACGGGGCGTCGGGCCCTGCTGTGCTACTGGAGCAATACCCGGCGCAGTACCTACGAGGCTACCTGGGGGTGCCTGTGGCGCTGTACCACCACTCCGTCCGTGCCTTGCTCGCGGCGAGGCTTCCAGCGGCCGGCCTCGACTGGGGCCCAATCTACGGCGGTTTGTGCCTGAATCAGGTACCAACGAGGTATTCGATTCGTACATCTGTTGCTGCCCTTGCCTTACCATGCCACTAGTCATAAATAACAGGTCGTAATTACAGCCACGAGAAGGAATCGGGTCTGGCCCAAATAGCAACAGATCGTCTCCTGGTCCGAGCGATCTGGCTGATTGCCTGGATACGTGGTGCGGCTGCGTTTCGCATTCTCGCTATGATCCCGTCCGTGGCTTCGTGGCTGGCTAGCCAGATATATCTGCGCCCAGCTGAGGTAAATAAATAAATATCTCGCTGGGTCTTAATACCCTTAGTCTGCCCCTACTTCGCTTTTGCTCGAACTTACCTCGCTCGCCTCGTTTCGTCTCGTCCCGTCCCGCTTACACTTGTTCCCATTGGGGCTGTCCATTCCTATAGCAAAAAAAATCACCTGTTTTTTTGCGACTTTATTCACTCTGCTTGCCTCACGATTCTTCAGGAGGTCGTTTTTAAAACAAGGGCTTGCCTGCCATCATCGTCAAAGATATTTTTATATCCTCCTTCTTCCACAGTTCTGGGCCAGACCTGATCAGGGGCATCATAGAGAGCCACTTTTTGAACTTCACCAAGTGTTCAACCTTCCATCCCTACACTCCTATTCACTCAAGCAGACTCCTTTTTCTTGGATTCCAAATGCCAAAAAAACAACCTTCTACCCAATCTCTGTCTTCACATTTCACCATGTCTTCAACAACGAGCAGCTCTCTCGCCCTCACCCACCATGGATCTGCCCAACGGCAGGACTTCACCATGTCCGTTTTAGGCTGCGGTATGTCCCACGCGCATGCATGAAAGTGGAAATGCTACCCTGATGCTGTAATTGGAAAGAATCGATCACTAACATGCAGTGTCTATCTCTTGTCCGCAGGTGACATGGGCATCGCCATCCTCAACGGGATCCTCACCTCGCTAGCTGAGCTCCAGGGCCCCAAGCCTCTGCAGACCTCTGGCACGGCCACTCCTGCCGAGGAGATCCCAGAGAGGCTCCCATCCCGGTTCTTCGCCTGCGTCCGGTCCCCGGAGACCGCCAAGCGGGTCAAGAGCGCGCTGTGGGAGCACTCCTCCATCCTCAAGGTCGTCAGAAATGAGAACATCCAGTGCGTCCAGCAGTCCGAGGTCATCCTCCTGGCCTGCCAGGAAAACAAGGTCAGAAGCATCCTCGGCGAGCCTGGAATGGCAAAGGCCCTGCACGGAAAGCTCCTCATCAGTGTTTGCGCCGGCGTCACCGTAGAACAGCTCGAGGAGGCACTCCACGGTGCCGTCCCGTCCAAGGATCCCTCTGAGGACGGACGCTGCCGTATCGTCCGCGCCATGTGCAACACCGCCGCCCTCATCCGCGAGTCCATGACTGTTGTCGCCTCGACTGAGCCGCCTCTGCCTATCGAGACTGAGTGCCTGGTCACCTGGATCTTCAGGAGAATTGGTGATGTCGTGTACCTCCCCGCCGAGAACATGGACGCATCCACGGCCCTCTGTGGCTCCGGGCCTGCGTTCTTCGCTCTCATGCTGGAAGGCGCCATTGACGGAGCCGTCGCCATGGGACTGCCCCGTCCCCAAGCCATCAGAATGGCCACACAGGCCATGAGGGGAATGACCGGCTTGGTCCAGAACGGCGAGCACCCTGCGCTCCTCCGTGAGAGCATCAGCACTCCTGGCGGGTGCACCATCGGGGGTGTATTGGCCCTGGAGGAAGCTGCTGTTCGTGGCACCGTTGCCAAGGCTGTGCGTGAGGCCACTGTTGTTGCCAGCCAGCTGGGTCACGGCGTGCACAATGTCAATGGAACAAGGCATGCGTAATAGATGCGAGTAGCTGCCGGGTGGTAATGATGGACTTCAAGTTCTTAGGCGCCTATTTCCAGCCCATCTGCACCTCTTTATTTGCTTGATCTTTTTATTTTTATCTATTTGGAGAGCGAGGCGTGTGATATGCCAAAAGAAGCAACGAGTAATACGGAATCATAGCCTAGGCGTCGAGATATCTTCGTGACCCCTTTTCAATTATGATGGAGAATGTAGAATAAATGTACAACACATGGAAATTTTCTTTCGCAACGCCTAATGCTAAACTGAATCCCTAAAAAGTACATTCTTGTTTATTACACAATTCTTTAATTACTGTTTAATTGCTGCATGACTTGGCGCCATCAGTTCTTTGCCTTCTTGCTTGGTGCCTCGTTCCCATCCTCCTCAGGCTTGCGCTTAGCGCTTGCTGCCTTGGATTGCTTGCTTGCCCGCTCATACAGGGCCAGGATTCTCGAATTTGCCAGTTCGACTCCGCCCAGGACCTCGTCAAGCTTCTCAATTCTCTCTTCAGGCTCCAGCTGGGACAGCGCATCACGGTTATGGCGATACAGACGCTGCTTGGCTATCAGTTGCCAGATCTTTTGCTGGTGCTTGTCCTTGGCCGTTGGAACTGGGACATCCTTATCCAGATCCATGGAAGGTCTCACAGATTCAGGCAGCTGTGACATGAGATGCATCTCCAACACCCTATTGAACTGCCTAGGTGCAATCTTGGCGTTGCGCTGGATCTCCTCAGCCTTGTCTCCTCCCACAATAAGCGAAGGAATAGTAGCGGATTTGGGAATGGCAATATCAGTATTGATACGGAGGCTATTGAACTCCGGCAGAGTTCGCAAATACTCCATATCACACACATCACGCAAATCGTCAAATGCCTCGTTGGGGTCCTCCACAGTAAATTCCTTGGTCTGTGCATGCTTATGGTAATGCTGGAAGATGGACTTGTAAAGGCGTGCGCCACACCCTTTGCCTTGGAACGGCGGCAAGATCAAAAATTGAGATAGTCGTGTTCGGCATGGCAGCTGGCTCAAGTCGAGATCTCCAGCAGGTAATTCCCATTTGTCACTCGGCGATGCCGGGGGTGTTGGATGGAACCAGTAGAAACGATAGATAGTGGAATATCCAACGAAGACATAGGAGCTCTTGCTGGGGTCCGACTCAGACTCGTCTTTTCTGTACAAGAAAAAGAGTGTCCATCGATCCGCATCCGAAAGATCAAGCTCTGTAGAATCGGAATCGGGCTTCTGGCCAATGTAAGATCCTCCTTCGATGAAGAGGGGAATCAGAATCTGAACCCGGGTGTTGAGTTGTTTCACTGCCGGGTCCACGAGGCTTCCCTTCCAGATCTCGTACTTTCCGTCAGGCCCATCGAAAGTATCATGCAAGGTGCCTGGAGGGGTCCAGTCGTTGGAAAGCTGCTTAGAGCCATTCTCAAAGTCCGATTCCTTTACAAAAGCGACTTTGCATCAAAAGGTTAGAAGGAGTCATGATCAACGCATAGTTTGGGTTCGGATATCACCAACCTTTTGGCAGATGGTTGCCTTCTTGGAGGATGCCGACGATATCATCTGGCTCAGCATCGCCCTGAGGCTTGAATACCTTGGTATGCGATACTTTGAGATGTGGCCTCATGTCATTAGCACGATACCGCAGGTTGATCTTGAGGCCCTTGTATCCGAAGATCTTTTCCTCTTCGCCGAAGATGGGGTATGTGAATCTCGGGTTGAAGGTCGAAATCGATTGAAGACCAGACTTTGTCGGAGCGACGAGGCTAATGTTCAAAGCATCATTAGAGCTCACGATCCCTATATTCTGCGTCAGCTAGACATTCATGGAAGCTGGCCTCCATCCTACTGCAAACTCACAGTCTTCCAGATTGGGTAGAGCCGCCATCTTGGAAATAAGCTGGTATGCCAATCGGCGCACCGCAAATAAATAAGTCAGGAGACGGTATTGGAATAGATAAATGAAATGTCAAGTCAACAAGAGTCTGATGGAAGATGCGCCGTTGGCAGAGCTGCTATTCTCGACCACCAAAAGTCGATGCGACAAGAGGAAGAATTACGTCTGCAGCTAGGCGCGTCGAGGCGCGATTGATTCACTTTACGCGCAGTGGCACATATAGCCCCAAAAATAATGGGAGCCGGCGTGCCCAGGGACCCGCTACGCTGCAGGCTACAGGTTAGTTCAAAGTTTGCAGCCTAAAACATGTAGCAGCAGGTTAGAACAGCGAAAGAAGCAATTGGCATGTCCCGAGCGGCGCTAGACCACTCCTGACAAATGACGTTGAGCGACCTGCCCGAGAGTCCGTGCCGCTGGTGCTGAATTGCGGACACTGCGGACCAACCCCTGGTGCTCTCCAAACTCGAAATGCTTGCTAGGCTGCCGCCGGGCGCACTCTTCTTTCTTTAATCAACCAACTACGGCTCGAATGGAGTTGCTCTCGAGATCGCCAACATGCTAGACATAGCGAATAAAGCCTCACCGGTCGGCTCGACGGTGTTCACGGTCATCGCCCTCGTCGTCATCTCTCTCATCGTTTTGGCCATCTTGCGATTCTTTCTCCCGTTGCGCACGACTCCTGCCCACTACCTCGTCCCCATCTTCTTCGCACTATGGCTCCCTTCAGTCGTTGTTATCCTAGTCCCCATCGATCTTGCCTCGAGCGCCAGGACCGACGATGAGGCTAGCCGGGGAATATGGCTTCCTGAGCGGGTGGTCGTGGTGGCTTGGAGGATCACTTACTGGCTGACTTTTGTTCTCACATGGTACGTACGACCCAGCAGGCGTCTCCCGTCTTGTCGCATCTCTTTTTCTCTATTCGGCGCTCATTCATTTTCCGCAGGGCCCTTCTCCCCATACTTGGCGAATACTCTGACGCCGGATATCGCGAACCTATCGAGAGACTACGCTACTCAGTCCGCCAAAATGCTCAGTTCATGGCCATCTCCCTTGGGCTCGGTATTGTTGGATTCGTTTACATTTTGATATCCTATGAGGTCAAACTATCGCGCGCGAAGGATGTTGCCATGGCGTTGGCCTACTGTTGGGGTTTAGCGCTCGCCATTTATCTCATGGGCCACGGCCTCGTTTCCATCCCACGCCGACTGGTCCGCAACGCCAGCATCACCGGAAAATTGCGCCGCCTGCAGACCAAGGCACCTAAAGTCTACGAACGAATGGAAGATTCGCTGGTCAGTCTCGAGGAGGTAGAATACCAGATTTCCGAACTCATCCGGCGCAAAACGGGGAGCGCCTTGGAATTTCGAGACTGGATCGAAGAGTTGCAGGAGATGGCGAATATCGGCGAGAGTCAGTCCCGGCCCGGAACCACCGACCCCAACTCACGGGTAATACCAACCGTCATCACGGATAAATTCCTTGCCAGCTTGACGCGGAAGCTCGTCAACGCACGCCACACCAGATCTCGATATGCCGACGAGTGGGCGCAGCTTATCCAAGAAGCGCACGAAGCACAAGCAATCATCGACTCGGCAGCCTCAAAGAAGCTGGATTTTGGCGATGCCGACCCCCACGCAAGCTGGTGGAGCAGAACCAAGTTCCTCACCCCTTATACCAGATATTTGCTATATTTCCAGATCCTCCCGGTCGCAAACTTCTTGCTCGGGGTTCTATGCGCGGTGGCTTCCGCTTCGATCGTGTGGTCCGAAGTTATCAAGGTCGCTGCGCCCAACCTATCCCTCATTCGTCTAACTGTGGTCCACCACTGGAGCCAAGGCAGAGCGGAAGTTGGCTTCGCTGGGCAAACAATCTCGACATTCTGGGTGTGTTACATGTTTGCCGCAGCACTCACGTCGGTCACAGAGGTGCGAGTGTGGCGTGGAAGAGCTCTAGTGAAGCGCAATACGGCCTACGAGTCGGCCTTCTGGTACGCAATGCTAGTAGCGAGGCTCAGCGTGCCCCTTTCCTACAATTTCGTCACCTTCCTATCCCCAGACGTATACAAGAAGACAATCTTCTTCAAGTTCCTAGGACAGTCCATTGTCCTGACTGATATTGGTCGCTGGTTCGATAGACTCTTCCCAGCCTTCATCCTGGTACCGGTCCTCGCCACCATTTTCGGTCTCTATAAGAAAGTGAAGCGTATTTTCGTCGGCCTGGACGTCATCGAAGACGAGGATGAAAATCCCACGGGGTATGGAACGGGTTCATGGCGGGAGGGGCGTGACCTCATTGACCGGGAGCTCCGTGGGAACTCTCTCCTCCGTCGACGAGAGGACGCCTTTTCAAGGATGTCAACCACGGCTGCTGGCGGCACAGCAGGCAGATCCGCCCCGGTTCTTTCAATCCCAGCGGCGAGGAATGCAGCGACCTCCCCGTCGCCCTCACGAGCTGCCTCCACCACGAATCGCGCAGGCCCCTCTTCATCATCTCGGGCTCGCGTTATTGATGAGCCGGAAGATGAAAACATCTTCTCCATCATCGGGCATCGCATGAAGAACACGATGGACACCATCGAGACTCCCAAGTGGATGCAGGACTTTGGTCAGGGGATGAAGACCCCCAAGTGGATGGGCGGGGCCGAGGATGGCGGCGAACAATCGCAAGGTGCAGAGCGCGGACGCAGCAGCTCGGATATTAGAAGATGGTTTGGGGGCGATGGACATATTCGCTTATAGCACTAATACTTAAATCATGGGTTGTCTGTCCCGTCGCTTTTTGTTTTGGATGTTCAGCAGTTCTCATATTCGGCGCAAATGGAATCATCAGGTTTGGGCCTATGTTGTAGCATATCCTAAATAGAGTAGTATATATCAGATAATTAATTGTCAAAGACTAAACAAATATAATTCCCGTAAAACGATATATCCTCTTTTTTGGTCATTTTGCCAGCGGTCACCCAAACAACAAAAGGTTTGCCAAATTCAACCCAACGTGTATATCCCGAGACCTATTTCTTTTTTCTCGGTCTTCTTTTTTTTACTTGTTGCGTTCATTCATTGCTTCATCAGTCATGACAGAAACATCTGGAATCCAAACTGCCCGAATATCAAAAAAGAAAAAAACAAGCAGCGAAGTCGTGTGCGTTAGAACACGTCGTTCCTAGGCCTTGACCGGCTGCGTCGACGAGTGCCACGTATTCGCCTTGCTCATGGTCCTCTTCCTCAGATGGAACATGATGTCCCTCTCCATGTCCTCAATGTTCTTCTCCAGGAGCGCGTCCTCCTCGGCGTGCTGGGCCTCGCGGCGGCGGTCGACATACAGCCAGAGCACCACGATGATCACGGTGATCGGTACGGTCACGGCAAAGTAAATCCACAACTCGACTGATACCGGCTCCGCGTCTATTTTCATCTTAGTTAGCGCCATCGATAAAAAGCGAGCTGTGGGTTTTCTGTTCTACAAAGGGAGCTGAACAAACCTGCTTCAAAGTTGAAAAACGACATCCCAAAGACGGAGGCCAAGTACGTCCCCGGCAAGAACAGCGCACCAAGAAGCGACAGTGTCTTCATCGCCGTGCTATCTCTCTTGCTCGCGTGGGCAATTCGTCTCTGCTCTCCGGCGATTTCAAGGTTCAGTCGAGCCTCTCGCTGGGACATGATGTTGTAAAGCTAAAACGGAGACAAAAGTTAGCTTGGGAATCACGCCTGGGAGTGGGACAGTTGAGGCATGACCTACCGCTTCTCTTTGGACCTTCAACCTCTCCAGCGTGGTGTGGATGTAATTCTCCAATCCCTTGAGCTTCGCCTTGTAAAAATCCATTCTCGACATCATGTTTTTGTGCAGCTTCCGCAGAGCCTTCCTCTCGGCCCTCGTGGCATCGCTCAGCCTCTCCTCATCAACATATGCCCACTTGCCCCAGAAGCTCGCCAGGGCCTTGTCGATCTCCCTGGCAACACCCTCATACGCCTGCGGCCGCTTCCACATGACGTGACTGTGGCACTCGACGAGATCTCGGCTCAAGCCGTCAATCTCGAGCAGTCCATCTTGAAAGTACATCTCAGACTCCTCAATCTCGTTGCGCAGGCTGACGGCGTTCTCCAGGCGACGCAGCCAGTCGCGCGCATCACGCTGCTTCTGGTCGTTGGTGGGCGACAGGTCATAAGAGAACAATATGATCGGGAGCAGCATAGGGTGGCCAACCTGGCGGGTGCTGGCCTTGAGGTGCTCGAGGGCCTGCACGACCTCGGAGCTCGACGTGCCCTTGATGAAGCCCGAGGTGATGTTTGTTGTGAAAGAGTAGGAGAGCATCATCTCCCATCCGCGAGTCTTGCCCTTCTTGCGGACATCGGACTTACGCTGTACCAGATCTATAGTGGAAATTCAGTAGTGATCCTTGCATGGCATGATCCATCACCAGGGAGTGGGCAATGCTTACGCATGTGAGGATCGTCATCATCGTAATCCTGAGCACTCCAGAAGAAAGGGCCTACAGCCGACGTAGTCTCAATTGACCTCATGGGGAGGCTGAAGCCCTGCACCATGCTCCTATATCTCTCTCTGGGCAAGGATATGACCTTTGGCATGAAGGTGTCTGGATGCTTGGCGTTCTGCTGTACGCTGTCGGATTACAGGTTAGACCATACCACGAGGGCCAACCTGGCGTGGCAGTTGAGATAGATGATACGCTGTTCGTAAACTTACATCAGACGCATCCCGCTCAAAAGCTGCGTATTCCAGCCATTTTCCACCTCCGGCGCGGTGAACACTCCCTTTCCCATCAGGTTAGCAACGCTCACGAAGATGTGGCATGGAGCAAACACGCAAAACCTACCCGTCGATGTACGAAATTGTCAAACTCATCAGGCGGTAATGTATGATCCTCGCATGAGTTATGGGAAGAGTCCTGCCCTACAGTCAGTTACGGCAATCGATTCAAATCGGCCGGCACATGGCATCTCTGTATCTGGTGGTGGGGGCCATCTTGACAG